CGGTAGCCATAAAACTGCTGTTTATAATTTTTTTTTTTTTCTTTGCACCGTGGAATTACTGTCAGTTGGTAATAAAGATCGGCTTAGCCAAACAACGTATCCAAAGACAGATTTAAGCCTCAGGCTGCATATTGATATGAGTGGTGTTATTTTTTTTTTGCCTGCGTACATTTGGTTGTCTCGGTCTGTGTATCATCTTTAAGATCTTGGCTCCAATAATTCTGATACCTAAAACTTACCAAGATAATATCTGTTACTTTCTTTATGATAGTTTTATTGCTAATTGAAGAGCAAATTTTTATTGTTAATATATCGGTTGTTAATATATATCAGTTTTCGGGAACATTGTACATTAGGTAACTTTTAGGGCATAAAAGTTTCTGAAGTATTTCAAAGTATTTACCACCCAAAATTTGCTTGACTGTCAACAACTTCTGGTTCTAGAGGAATAATTTACTGTACTTGACAGCAACAGAAGTTCACATTTTATGTTAACGCAAGTGGCTTTTTTCCCTTAATAATATCTCTCAGTAAACTAATATTTTCCAGGCTTACCTCGATGATAAACGCATTCGCAAAGGCGTTGTCACTGGTTAGTTCTCTTTCTTTTTTTTCAGCGCTTCTCTTTATTTCAATCCTTTCTAATTTCTTTTTCTTACTTGTAGATCTCACAGTAAAAAAAGCTGTAATATACTGCTTTTCTACTGCAGTTACGATCTACCGGTTTACTAAAAGTTTCAAATAATTTACTATAGGTGTAAGGAAAATCTTGCAGCCAAATAAACACAACCGTTATTGCTAAATGAAAGCGCTCGCAGTGGTTCATTGATTATTCATGTAGTGGCCTGTTCTTTGCTTGCTTTTGGGCTTTCAAAGGACTTTTAGGTATGACTAGGGAGAAGAGAGGGGTGGGGGGGAGGGGGTTAACCATCTGCTTATGACATTCGCTTCGTGCGAATGAAAGGAATTTTTTTTTGCATCAATTAGATTGGCATGTGTCATCATACCTGTTGTTGATTACTGACAACGGTTACAAACCTTAGGTTCTCACGAGCTTGTTTTTTTTTCCTGTTTAAATTCATTGTTGACTTATTAGCTTCTAACACGTATTATTCCTGGAATTTTTTCGTTTATCTCCTGAATAGTAACCTGCCATTTTTCTGTGATGGCCTGAGCAGTCTTTTGTATCTAAAGTCTACCTTCACTAGTAGCGTCTTACAGTCAGTTTTCTTACAGGGTTGTAAATATGGGTCAAAAGAGTTGTTTCCATGGCGTTAAGACCTGCACAATTTTATTTTAGGGTAAGGTGGTATTCGGGACTTGTTCAGCTGCGGGTGTTGGTACTCTTATATATGCCCTTGAGAATTCATTGACTGCCGATGCATTTGATCTTATTGTCCATCCGGTTAAACTCCCATGGTCGCATTCAGGTCTTTGTGACTCCCTGGATATTGCATCGTATGGTTCTTTTATATGTTCTATATTTAGCTTTATCATCAGTGGGTAATTTCGATTACAGTTTTAATTTTATTTTGACTGCAGTCTTAAATCAGTCGTTCACTTGTTGCTGTGGTTTTATGAAAGCAGAGTAGTTTTTATCTTTTTATCCATTACTGCTGATGCGTTTGCCTATTTCCTAACTAAAGTTAAGAACTTTGAAGCAGCACCTCCATTGCTCTTATATGACAATAGAGTAAAAGTTTTTGCTATATCAGGGTGCGACGCGGTTGGGAAGTCTATAAGCAAGTTTGTGCAGCATGTCATTCAATGAGGTTCATACACTATCGACATTTTGTGAATGCCTTTATGACTGAAGATGAGGCAAAGGAAGAAGCTGCAAATATCATCATTACGGATATAGATGATGCAGGTGTTTTTTAGTATTTAGTGATAGGTTATATCGGTCAAAAGGAGAAGTTTTTTATAGCGAAAATTATGTCGAGTAGTTTCTCCTCACTTGGTAGATTTAAGGGGAACCTTTTGAACGGCCAGGAAGACTGACAGATAACTTACGGTCTCCGTATAGAAATGATAAGGCAGCTGCGAGTGCAAACAATGGTATCGTTCCTCCTGACTTAAGCTTGATGACATGGGCTCGCCATGGAAACGAGAACTACATATTTTCTTTGCTCTCAAGCTACATGGATCCTCCTGCTGGAGTTAAGGTGGGTAATACAGTTTTTTGACTTTTGGAGTTGAAGATTTTAGGAGCGGTTTTTGTGGAACGTGTTTTTCAGGTCGATGAAGGGAAAGCGTATAATCCTTACTTCCTTGGTGGCGTGATTAGTATGCCGCAACAGCTGTATGATGAGGGCGTTGAATATAAAGACGGGACGGCAGCTACACAGACTCAACAAGCCAAGGATGTCTGTACCTTTATGCGATGGGCTGCCGAGCCGTACCATGATACTCGAAAAAGAATGGGCCTTAAGGTAAATTTATGACTGTGAAGTCAAGTTGCAGTCTGCTGGCTAATCTCAGTTCGAAAGTTCTTATATGAATTGTTCTAGATCGCCAGTTGCATCCCCTTCGTCCTGTTCGTGTTGTTGTATGGGAAACGACATGCTTGGACTTTCGTCAAAAACCAGAAGTTCATGTTCCGAACGGTTAAAGGACGTGAGCCACCAGTAGGCAAATAGGCGCTAGAAGTCATGGTGTCAAAATGGGGCTACAAATTCAAGGCTGGATTTAGCGTTAAATACTCTCATTAAAGTTACTTTAAAGATGGATTCGGTTTCTAAATTTTTGCTTGTCGGACGTCAAGCTTTTTAAAAAAAAAGAAGCTAGCTAACACCACGAGTTTTAAGTAGTTTGCTGCCATGTTTTACTGGCGACCTTTAATCGAAGAAGTGTCCGCTCAGAGCTTCATTTTGGCTTTCGTGATATTTCTTTATTCTAGTTGTAGAGGTTTTCTAGTGGGAAAGTGTTTTAATTTTATTAGAGCTCGTAATTGCAAATATATGATTTTTGTTAAAATAAAAGGTTCAAAGGTCCCTCTCTTGCACAGTAGATTTACCATAGAATTTATTAAGTGCATTTCGCTAACCTGCGAATATTTTGCAACGTTTGGTGGTGTGGTTTTTGGAGGCGTGAGCGCGGGATGGAATGATACGGTTTTGTTCGGAAGTTATTCTTTACGAGGTACACCTGGTTACAAAGGTGCCGTAGGTGTGATTCAACGCTTTGCAATGTTTTGTTTGCGGGACTTCGGGACTGTTGCCAGAAATCCGATTGTATGGCTGCCATGATAATCATATTGGCTGTTGAGTTTCAGCCTTTTACAATCTTGACATCTCGCTTGTCGTTAAATGCTTTTGGCGTAATGCTGTAGATTACCAAGGAGAGGATTTTTTGTTTTTCTTGGATTTGCTTTTAAAATGGACTTAATTTATGTTAATCTCGTGAACTTTTACACAGTTGTTGAATGTGCGGAGCACATGGAGTGTCAAAATTTAAAAGATGGAGAGAACTTATCAGCCAAACAAATGTTTCGGTACCCTTGTCACGAAGTTGCCGGTATCCAGAACCGGCACACGCATAAAACTAAAAAGATGATCGTCTAGAAATCTGAGCAGTCGCCTATGCACAAAAAATTGTTCCGAACTGCTTCTCAAAAAGTGAGGGGAGAGGAATATTCATTATTTAATTCTAAATTTCTATTTTATAGGTCAAACCAAGGAGCAGCAATTTCGACGTCAATATTACATCCACCGCTAGTCTGGTTAGTTCTCACTTTTCATTTCTTAATTTAATGAAGTCATCTGAAAAACCTTTATTTTTAAAATGATACCGAAATATAATTATCAAACTAGACTTTTATCACCGAATTAATAAGTTTGAAAAACATAACAAGAAACGTTTAACCTTGCACTTCACAGTTACAGTCGGCAACGTATTAAAGTTATACATAAATCATATCAGTTATGTTTTCGGCTCAGAAGATCTTAAAAGACCCGGTATTCCAGTAACTTCATAAACAATTTATACAAAAACGTTTGAGAGAATTATGAAAATAGAATTTTAACAGCTGTCTCGACCACCACACTGCTTATTTTTGCGGCTTCGACAACCTGATAGCCACTTAATACTCGTAACTGTCAGAGTCATCAATTAGATGAAAAAGCATAAGTTGTTACCCCGCAGCGTCAAAAAAGAGTTCGTTCAATAACTGCTTCATCATAATTGCAAAAAAATAAAAAAATTACAGAAACCTAACTCAAAGATGTTTTGATCGAGCAGCTACTATCGTTATTGCTATCGCTTCGCAGCAGAAGATCTTTTTAAAGCTCCCACTGGTAATGATAATTAGTTGAACCCATAGTAGCCAAAAACTAATTGCAGGAAATGCTAATAAATTGTTCTGCATAACTATTCTGCAAATATTGCAGTCCCCGTAAAATTATTTGTGGGTATTAAGAAGATATAATGGTTTGGAATAAGAAGGCATGAGAACTTGCTTGGAAGCTAACAATACAAACGCTCATTTCTGTCCAGCATTTCCATAATACAGCGCCGAAATAGTCTGTGGTTACCAATGTAAGCAGCGAAATGTCCCATGTCCTTTAAAACCTGAAAAACTATTTTACTGTAGTAAGTGAACACGGCTTCGATTAGCTTCAGTTTTCCTAAATACTCACTTCAACTTGTGCTCCTGGCCAAAGTTCCTGTAAAGAAGGTACACCGCTGGTTACTATGTAACCATCACACTCAGCAATTACACTCTTGACAAGAGTAGGATCGATGGGTTTCGGGTACTTCCCGAGGTTGGTAAACTCTTCCATCAGTATATACATAAACTGAATAAATTTTACAAACATTCCCCTGAATAGCAAGAGAAAAAAATGATATTTCATTAAGTCCACCAACCTGCTTGGCTGGACCAAAGACGGATGTTTCGCCATTTTTCCTATCTAGTTCATAAGCCTGGTCAACCCAGTCACACTCAGGGATCTTACGAATGGCGTTTTGGAAGTCCTGCGACATGAACTCTTTAGATAAAACGTCCCAAGGGATTGATCGTGATAAAGCCCCCTGCATAAATCGTGTGGGGTTATTCGATTATGATTCTAGGTACGATGTGATCCAGTAGGTGGAAAATTAAGCAACTTTATAAGATTGAATAGAAACACCTTAAAACGTTCGCAACCTGGACAAATACTGGTGCTGCAGTTGTCCAAGAAAGACAAGGAACCACGGATACCGGCCACGGTGAATTAGTACACGCTAACGAAACCATATGGCCACCCATAGAAACTCCTGAAAGTCCTACAGGCCAATACTCAAGTCTTCGAGCCCAATCCAACATATAATTACATTCCGCCATCAACGCTCCACCCATCACAAACAGGTCGGAGACATTCAATAACGATGATCTGAAAGATGTACATAAACGAAACTTCACTTCAAATCAGCATAAACCGAAGATTCCAAGGCGCGTTTGATAGATTCAGTAATCATATTAGCAATTTCAGGGTTCGTACTCTCTATAGTATAAAAAAGCACTGAACCAGCGTTTCCTATCAATTACCTAAACTGTTGCTGGGGACGACGACTACCATAAAAAGGATTCTGAAGAAGTATTGAACTGACACCTTGTTTCACAAGATCGTTGGCGAATCCAACTTCCCGCCTGAAATCCAGCAAAACCATTATTCTTTGATTTATAATCCACTATGTAAATCTTAATAAATTTGAAAAACAAATGGACCTGTAAAAAGAATGGTCGCCAGTACCAGCTAAATGTACGACCAGAGGACCTTTCTTAGACTTTGGGAATATCCCCCTCCAGGCTGCGATTCCAACGTTCTCGGGCATCATTTCAGGAAAAACTTTAGCAAAAGGGCTTTCAAACCAGCCTTCCACATACTTCACTTCCTTTTTCAGAGCCTCCTGCACGTTTCTAAGTGAATCGTGTAACAATTACGACTAAGATTAATTTGTAGCCTTGAAGGTTTTTTCTATGGACCGCACACTTCAAGAAAAGTACCTTAGTGATACACATGCGGGGCTTCATCCTTTCTATCACTTCCATAATTATACCTTTCCCCATTACCGAATTTCGGAAAGCAAAAGCTCTAAAAGCTATCATACATAATTCCACACAGAATAAAATAATGAGAGTAGTTTTGCATAGTCGAAGATAATTAAGACAAAGAAGTACTTTTCCAGAAACTTCGGATTTCCCCAGGAATTTTTAAACATCTTCGACAAGATAAGCAAGCTTCTAAAATAATTATCCACCGCGCTGACCCTGACCTCCATGGCTGCAACAAAAATCGTCCTTGCCAGCGGTTCAAAGCAACGACTCGCCCTCCTCAGGCAAATCGTAAGTCTACCCTGACTGAAATACACAAGATTTAATGTTCAATTGCCTTTTCAAAACAAAGACTCATAAACGATCGGGGATGTTTGCTTTACCGACGACACATTGAAAATAACCTGTGACAAAAAAACCGAAAGAAAGATCTGGAGATCACAAACCGTGCAACTTTTCAGGGCATTAACCCGATAGTGAAAGTTTCAAATTTTGAAGAAAACTGCAGTATGTCCTTACCAGTTGTACAGTTCGTAGAAAAAACAGCTGAGGGTAAGGCGATGACGGTCGCACAATCTATGGTAAGCATTGAAAATACCTATTTATCACACACAAAGCGTTTCATACATTCTATACTGTTAAAACTTGTAAACTTCCGACATAAATATTACAAACGCTACCTAACATTTCAGGCACCTCACGACTTTGACTTCATAATCGGATGCGACACAGTGATCACATTAGATGGGCGAATCATCGGAAAACCAAAGAATCTCGAAGACGCCCGCGCTACTTTACAGAAGTCTAATTTAACAGATTCACTACCGAATCTTGTGGGACCTAAAGCGTTCTCACCAGTTAAAACTATATATCTCACAGCAAATAATTCAGCTATTTCTAGACTAAGCGGAAGAGTACACGAAGTTTATTCTGGAGTAGCGCTGGTTGATAGTAACATGAAATGTGAGGTATTTCACGAGAAGACCGAAGTTAAGTTCAGTGTGATTCCTGACCAAGTTTTGGATGATTACATTAAAGCTGGCGAGTCATTGTTAGTGTGTCATCTAACGATAATTTTAACTTCACTGCAACTTTCTTCCTGAGGCAGCATTTGAGTTTTTAGAGGTCGCGCAGGATCATATGGAATTCAAGGCCAAGCGGCATTGTTTGTTGAGAAGATCAATGGTTGTTACTACAACGTTGTCGGTTTACCAATCAACAAGATTTTCCAAAAACTGGTTGGGAAGGTGCAGTTCTTCAGAAATAACTAGATCTTTTCGACTATTTAATTGCGAGTTTCTATGGATGTATGTGAAATTACTAGTTCCATAAACATATACTGAGCAGCACACGAGTACAAAGGATCGGTGGGAATCTTGTACTGTTAAAACAGTTAACCGGGGTATTTAGACTGGGTTAAATATCATCCGCGTACGAAGAACAGAAAATTCAGAGCAACTCAAATTTACCTTCATATCTAGAATAAATTTGGGTTTTTTATCAACCAAATATAAATTCAACAAAACCGATCAAGTCCTCAACTATTCTTCAAGTTGCAGTTCATTTAACAGTTGCTATAAACATTCGAAGTGCTGTCGTGAACAATTGTAAACAAAATTTCAGTACAAACAGGGAAAAATGCAGAAAAACAAACAAAAAAACTCTGCTGACTAGTATAATAAAATGTAGTTTTTGTTTGACTAGTTGGAGGAACCATATATAACAAGCCCCTATATCAGCAGTACAAACTTAGACGGCACACTGATGCGCTTGGCATAGTTCTGAAAGACTTTAACAATTTTTCAAAGTTAGACTGCGTATCTGGAAGTGCTGCCAGAAACAATGGACAAATATCTGTCAGCTGTATCTGTTGACCGAATTCTAGTTGGTCACTGAATACAACAGCTGTTTTTCACTGTAATTTAAAAAAAAAAAAAAAGATACACAAGCCACCCTTGATAAGAGCCAGGAAAAAAAACTAAATTAGTGAAGGCAAAATAAGCACCAGAAATCACAAATTGGTGGCCAAAGTTGAAAAAGAACGTTAGGGAAGAGGAACTGTTTGGCACGTAGGTAGTAAATCTGACGGCAAACTGCCAAAACAGCATATAAAATACTGCTAACTGGCACCTTCCTTCACGCCGCTTCTATGCATTTCTGATTGCGCACCGTGGACTAGCAGCTTCAAAATGTTGACAGCTGGTTGCCTGGATGTACCCTCAGAACTAATAGAACTTTGTCTTCCAGCAGTTGTAGAGAAAAGTGCGTGATTTGTAGTATAATTAGAGGTTTATCAAACAGTATTAAAAAATTCTGTAGATATTTGAACTTCGTTTGAATCTCATACAGTTCAATTTGCTTTTGCAGGTTTATTGCGTAAAGAAGCTTTTGATGCAGCAAATCACTTTTCATCTTCTCCTCGATAGTTGATCATTTGCTTATCCATTGCAGCTAAGTAGCTCGGCACATAAAATTACGTTTATTCAGTGGCGCAGTATTGTTTCGTTACTTCAAATTTCTTATTTCTTTTTAAGATGAAATCCTTATTTTCCCTTGGATACACTCGAGAAGTAATTCTTTGCCGTAAGGCCCGCATACTCCTCTTGCTTTTCGAATTAACTCCAAAAAGCCCTAAAGATTAACTAGACTTAATTTTGAGGTAAAACCTTCAACCTTACCAAAGCGCCACTACATTTTACAGCACCTCGCTCAAAAACTACTTGCTGAAAGCTTTTTCTTCTTAGTTCTACAGAAGAAAGTCAACGTGCTCCTTCATCGCTGCTTGGAATTCTCAATTAGTCCATATTTCCTTCATTTGTTCGTGATAGTGTTGGTGTAACGAAATGCGAGACAGTTGTTTCAACTTTACGCGTCTTTGGGATCCACACCAACAGACCTTTTCTTTTTCGTGCTTCTTTTCTACTGTAGCAACGTCCGTCTACTCTGCAGTGGATAAAGGGAAATGAATTTGCAGTAGTCGACCAGGACTCAGTTTCGCAGGTTGCCAGAAAGAACTTTCATTCCAGGTATTCAGGATCTGCAACAACGCAAGTTCCTTCTAATTAAAAATAAAAAAGTAGCATTTAATAAACATAAGCAGGGCCTGCGGTGACTGCATACCTCAAAAAAAACTTGTCAGAAAATTCCTGATTCCATTGGAAAATGAAATAACAAGTCTTACATAGATAACAAGTCTTACAAGTTATAGTTAGGTAGCTTTTATGAAGCGCCCAGACGAAAGACGGCAAGCAAACAAATTGCAGAAAAATTGAGCATCTGTAATATTGAACCTTTTCGGCATGTTAAAGATGCATTTATGACTGAAAACAAGTGATGCTTCACGCCACCACCGATATATCGACTTTCCAAAACAGTGCAAAGTGGAAAACGCACATGAACGCTAGATGCCCAGAGAGGAAATTGTGTAACGATATCAGAAATTAAAATAGCCGAGTAAAAAATTGTCAGAAACTTTGAAATAAAACAATAGCTAGAAAATACGGGCAGAAAAAAACACACATAATGGCATCCAAGATCAACACTTACACTCCACTGATAACAGATAACTAATGGAGTAACGACTGATACTGCAGCCAGTGTTAGGAATCTTGTCTATGTGAAGATCAATTTGATACTTGAACTAAGCAAAAAGCTTAAAGATTTCGCTCACCAAAAACCAAAAAAACTTAACCGTCGCTTATAAATTACTTTCCCTTATGGTTCTAGGGCATTTTTTATGCAACATCTACGATTTAAACTAGTTATTTGAAAAGTGAATTTCCTAATAAAGACCAACTTTTTAAAGATAAGGTGAATGAATTAAATTTTCTCAAAAAAGGAATTGATTTAAGTGTTGAACAACGGGTCCTAACAAGCAGAACGGACTGTAAGGTGATCAAACACTACAGCTAATTACGGTAAGAAATTATAGAAAAGTCTGGATTTTTTGTTCTCAAAACTCCGTAAAACTTCCAACTTTTCTATAAATTCATAGCAAAATTATGGACCTAGTGGGAGAGCACAATCATTTTTTTAAATCCGTAGTAATCACTTACCTTTCCGGCAGCCTCCTCTGTTCCCTCACCCAGTCCGCGAGGGTATACCTGCACTAACTTGAAATTTCCCCACTCTCGTTTGAGAGCTTTGGAAACTAGAAATACCAATAGGTGTGACAACTGTAATATATTTTGTACGGATCACCCCGTTTCAGATCAAGCAGTTTTTCAGCCAGTTCCCTTCAGCTTTTTTCAAACTGTGAGGTTCTCCCCCCAGTTTTACGTGTGGAAGCAAAGTCCATTCAGTTAAGCGAAGTTTGAAAAAAGCTTGGCCGGATCCCAGATGACTCATATCTTGGCCAAACATGGCGTGCTATGGAAGGTTGTAACTTGCTTCATTCGTTACCAAAGCGAATACTTTGAAGCCATTTTAGTGTTTCTTCTACTTCGCAAAATTTTTTATATTCTTTGTAAACTATTAAAGCAGTGCACAAGGTCCTCAAAAAATACTGAGATTTTGATTTCCTTCAAGGAGAGAAAATTTTTGTGGAGACTTTCTCTTTCTACAGCAACTTCCACGGTGCAGCTCCGACTGAAAGAATGGTGAGCTAAATCCGTAAAAACTGCACCTAAATAGCATGCTCCGCTAGTCAAGCATCCAGACTTGTGGTTAAACTCTCAGAGCAAACAAGTCCCTGTAATTGTAGACTTAACTTCCAAATTTACTATTGCCTTAAAACTCCTAAGCGCTAAAGTTCTGGTTGCCGTCACTAACTCATCCCAGCACCCGACCTAACAAATTCTTCTTGGCAACATCCGCAAACCAGTTTCGACACTGTAAGTGACCTATGCGGCATCTGCTTGCGAAGTAAGGTGAAAACGCACTAATCATGCTCCACCCATTGCAGTAAAGTCTAACGAGTAAATATCGTCGCAGATTTCTTGAATTTCCAACTTACACAGTTACCGCAGCTGCCGCTTATACATTTTTCTTTAAGTCTTGGCACAATGAACTGTTAAATACTTCATGAGTTTAAAGACGTAATAATTTAAACCAGGAATTATTTTCAAATCATTGTGGGCAGGGGTTAAGCCCTGAATTCAAGCTTCAATACACTACTCCAGTTAAACACTAACAACAACCAACCAGACGCATAAACAAAATTATTATTACAAATATCGTCTGACACAAAATCTCATATAAATTAAAATACAACCCGATGTATGAAAGAAATCCAATGCGTGCCACTTCTCTCATACAAAATTTGCATAGTATTATATAAACATGAAGATAACAGGTACAAGACAAACAATAAGCGATATTGAGGCCACTTCTTTAAGCCCAACATTTCTCTTTAGCCATCGTCCACCGATTGCCAAGAATATTTTTATAGAACCACATTCCTTCCTATTTTTGAAAAATTTCCGTTGCATACCAACAAATAATACCGGTAATGAAATGTACGGATTTGCTAGAAATATTGCATACAGTTCACGATACTATAAATCCGGATGGAAAGCAACTAATGAAATTTTTTTAAGGAGAACTGAAATAGAGCTTAAAAACGCTTATAGAAAAGAAAAAACTGGCCTTCTAAAATAATAACATTAATTCATTTACTTACTCTGTACAACAGGAGCACATAACAAATAAATAAATTGGAAACTTAAGCTAATGGATAAAAGTCTATGAAAAAACAAAAAAATAACAAATCTTCGCCTAAACCTCATAATAAAGAAACTTAAAGAGTAAGTCAAAATAATAAAATCTACCAAAAATTTCAAATAAATATAATGTGTCACGAAATATACCCCTATCTAAGGCAAGGTGATCAGCTCTCAAATACACAATTGAAAAGGAACGATTCTTGCCAGTAAGAGAAGTTAAATAAAGGCTTGAAACTATAAGAACTCGCGAGTGTTACGCAGTGCAGGCGGTTTAGAATCCCGGTAGTCCATTAAAGGCGTCACAGGATCCAAAGTCAAAGTGGAAGGTCTAACAAGTGTGTCACGCGAGCCCTCAGGAACGCTTTCCAACTGCCCAACAACGGCATTTGTTTTTTTCGTTGAATCTATTCCATTACCTCTTTCGGTCTCGCTCTTTCGTTTTAAACCCCTGCGCTTCATCAACAGAGGTGCGGCAGCTACTTCCATCAGTTGAAAACCATCACGATTAGCGGACAAGAACGCGTTCAGCGTCTCATTGAATGTTTCGCCTAAACGACGGCCTATGAAATGTACAAGAAGTGCTCATATTCTTGGCGCGAAGCGTAAAATGCAGTATTTGAAAGCGTATTGAGTTTACTTGTCTGACAGTGCATAAGAGTTGTAGGAGTCTGTAGCGGGGTTTCGCAATAACAGGCGTGATTCACAAGCCAAGGATGACGCTGAAGCTCGTCTATGGAAAGCCTTTTTTTAGGATCAACTGTAAGTAAAGCTGAAAAAGCAGAGGTGACTTCATTTCTCAACAGTTTAGTAGCGCATAAAATATCAAGAGTCGTTACGGATTAAACTAACAAGTGATGAGCTGTTTCGCCTCTGAGCTAATTCCTCTCCACTGTAAGCCATCAAAACTGAACTGGGCTTTTCGTATACGCGACATAATGTCTGTTGCTGACTCATTTTTCGTTCTTGCGTGGAACGGGACATTGCCGCTCAGCATAGTAAACTATAAATAACTTTTAAATGTAAGAAGGTAAATCAAACCTGCCAGTTACACATTGGAACTGGAGAGTAAATGAGGAACACAAAGCAGTGTGCTTACTAAAATAACTCCGAGACTCCAGAGGTCGCACTGTTCATTATACTGTGGCAGCTGATCGTCCTGCTCAAATACTTCAGGTGCTGCATAATGCAGTGTAAAGCAAGGTGTAGTTAAACTAGCGTTTGCCGATGGTAGTAGTCTAGCAAAACCGAAATCCACTAAGCGTAACTTCGCGTCTTGATCTTGACTGTCAAATAGAATGTTCTGGAAACATAAGTTGATGATATAAAATGACAACGGCTACTGCTAAATAAATAATTGTCTCCGTAAGACATGAACAATATTATTTTCCTTGTTACTAGTTGCAGAAAAGAGATATAAAAGTACCTCAGGCTTTAAATCCCGATGCACAACATTTTTAGAATGCAAATAGGCGACTGCAGAGACAAGTTGTCTCATGATCTTTCCTGCCTGTGCTTCAGTGAATGTTTCCATTTTTCTAATGCGGGTCAGCAGTTCACCTCCTGTGATAAAATCAGAACTAAACCTGGTAAAGCTGGAACCAATCTGGCATTGAGAGGGTGAGTGACGTTTCTGAATGTTTAGAGATTAAGTAGCGAACAAACCTTCTAAGAGTTCCATTACAAGATAGATGTGTAACGAATCCGATATGACCTCTATTAGTTTCACAATGTTTGGATGTCCACAAACAATGCTTAGTATTCGAGACTCTCTTGTAGCCTGAACTTGAAATCGCTGCGATACTATTTTAACACAAAAGACGGCTCCGTCTGAAATTCGTTCACATTTCCTGAAAGCAAAATGGTTCAAATAGAGAAGTCAATTTTACAAAATGAGTCAATCTTCTGCACCTGCTTTCTTCAAGTGTCTGTTTTTTAACAAACAGTAAAAAATTACAAACCTACAAATAGAAAACGATCCATGACCTAAAAAACCAGCCTCACTTCTATCGAGTTTATATTTAGAAAAGAAGGGAGAAACAGAAAGAAGTTTCTGAAAGTCTTCTGCCAGACATTCTTCTCCAATAATATTATTGTTTGCAAATATAACCGAAGGAGCTATAAACGAATAACCCTGTAAAGCAAAAAATTTTAGTCTTTCAAGTCGTGATCAGAATTGTTCCATAAAAAAGAAACGCTGCTACGGTGAGAGAAATTACAGTCAAAAAAATACTTCTATTTTGTTAGTTTAACAGTTATTGGGAAGTATACACTAAATGTAGGCAAACAGCTTTTCTGTACTTACACGGAATAAATTGAAGGCATCAACAGGCGCATCGGCAGGCGAATATAGTGGCTGTTGGGTGGTAAATTCCGGAGCAAAATTTGCAGCGTCTAGCTGAATGATCAAGCTTAGAAAGCATCCTCATAACAAATTTAATACAATAAACCATAATGAAGAATAAGAATTAAAAGCAACGCTCCAGTGATTAACGCAATAGTCGATTATGAGCAAGAAACAGCTAGAAAGTTATAGGAAGATTTAAGAAAATTTCCATCAACATACATCACTTGAAATTTTAGGTTTTATTGGTGGATCTAACAGCTTCTTTTCACACTTCTCCCAGTCTATGTCGGCAAGAAATGGATGACTTTTGATCTCTTCAACGCCCTTCCTACCTAGCCTGTCCTCCGGCGACTTTCTAAGAAGACGGCTGATAAAATCTAACGCAAGAGGATCAAAGTCTTTTGGGAAAGGCACTTTTTTATGTAATATCCTCCTGTAAAAAGCATAAGTAAAACATAAAGGGTTTACACTTGAAAATCCAACCAAATCTCACTTACTGTAACCACATATATCCTGTATAACAAACCTAGCAATGTCTTTACTGCTATTCTGCTGTCCTTCTACTGTAAATGGCGAGCAACCTGTAAGCAGTTCAAAGGAAATGACACCTAAACTCCACCAATCAACTGTTTCATCGTATCCTTTTTCTGGACGATCTATCACTTCTGGAGCCATATACTCGACTGTGCCGCAGTATGATTTTGCTCTGTGCAACTGTAATATGCTGATAAAGGAAAAAACAAATAGTTCTATAAAATTTATAGCTAAAAGAGATTAACAACCAACCCCCAATAATAACATCATTTAAAATTCGGATCGAACTAAAATAGAGAAAAAAGATGACACTCATGAATTGGATGAACTAATTATTAAATTAGCTCAAGGAAAATTTTTGAATTCATTGAAAAGTTAACCTCATCTTTTGAAAGCTCTTTGCTAAGCCCAAAATCGGTTAGCTTTATGTGTCCATATTTATCGAGAAGTATATTTTCGAGCTTTAAATCTCGGTAAACCACATCCCTCTAAACCTTGCTACATTTAAAAGAGGTTGAAAATAAATTAACAAAAAAACTAAAGTTTAAATTTGTGAAATTTTTAACCGGAAATTAACTAACCTTATGTACACTATCAATAGCAACAATAAGTTCAGCAATAATAAATTTTGCTGTATGGACATCGAAAAAACCACGAGAACAAAGATGAGTAAACAACTCGCCTCCGTTTACGTATTCTGGGAAAAAACTCAATAAGACTATACAATGAAAAATATGAGATCTTGACAACGGCGCACAAAACGAAGCAATATCCTGCAGTTCTATGTTAAAACCTTCTGGATAATGAACACTAAACAAACGAAAAGTTGCCCTAGAAAATAAGTGATTTACACCCAGAATTGAAATAAAAACTTCAAACAATTATCTAACCTTTAACTGAAAAACTATAAAAAAAGATCGATCTGTAATTAGGGACAGATCCAAATGGCAACTAACCCATAACAATGTGCAACTTCGCATCAGACTGGAAAGCGTAAACAAGGTTGACAAGAAAAGGAAGCCCTTTCAAACGCTCGAGGACATGACGTTCAGCCATTGTATGTTCTAGCGTTTTGGCTTTCGTCATAACCCGTGTTTTTTTGAGCACTTTCATAGCATAGATTGTTCCATGATCTCGGCCACCTATCTTCCTCGCCATAAACACCTTCCCGTAGGCTACAAGTGTTTAGGTCAGCTGTCTTAGAAGAAAAAAAAGAAAAAAAAACAAATAGGCGGGCATCTAGGCGAGCCGACGCAGAACAACACAATTGTAGAAAATTAAGAGGTACAGCTACACACTAACATTTGCTTTCAAAAATGCATATTTTTTGCGACATATTAATTACCACAAGTTAATTTAAAAAATAAACCTTTATGCATATAACATACTCACCGCCTTTGCCAAGAACCTTTAACAGGTCAAAATTTTCCATACTAACTCGGTCGCTCCCATCGCCCAAATAACTGTCGGCAGAGCTTGAAGTAGATGACATCACAACATTGGAAATAAACGTTTACTTTCCTTTTGATTGAAACAATACTTGTATTTTCCTTAACAGCAATGGGGAGCTGTTAAATGAAGCAGAAAGAAAAGAAGAAGAAGCAAAAAAAACAGAGAATATTCGTTCAATTTTCGCAGTTCCTATTCTTTTCGAAGTTTGTTCATGAAACTCTAAAATGCATGTACGGATTTTCGCTTGAAAAACTATGTGTTTACGGGCAATATAATCCTAAAAGAACCAGACAAGGTCATAATCAAGAAAATAACACAATGAAGTACAAACAAGACGCTTTCAAAAAAAGTAATATGCACTGTGACTTCAAGGATACCAGTTAAAACTTTAATCATTCTGAAATTCCCCTCATTCTGTCAAATAGGAGAAACTAAGGAATACCACCAGTATCGTGAAAGCAGACAGGCACAATAATGGTATATCTTAGAAACTGCAAGAAAATCTTCTTTTTGGGTTTTGTATTTTATGACAAATCAGCAAAGAGAAAAAGTAGAACAAAATGAGTCGAAGTAAAAAACTTTGTTGAAAGATCAACATTAGAGGAGATTCACGATTCAGTCTTTTTAGCAACATTAATTTCACTTTCAGTGATCTTGTTGAACCCATCTGTCTCTCCATCTGCATACACAAATTAATCATTTGCATTAGTTCCGGTTATTGCTACCGTGGAAAAACTAGGAATAAAATTTTCTTTACTACTTATGTTGATTTTAATGTTCAGAAGTCCTGAATGCGGCCGAAATATTCAACAAAAATGGATGGGAAAGAAAAAAAATCACTTTCTTCCTTTTCCTATTCTTTTTTTCCTTTGTATCAAATTGTTTACAAAAAACGCCTTTTTCGAATACAAACAGAAAAAGACACACGCATACGCTTCCTCAGTTAAAATTTTTTTTACTCTGACTTCCAATAATCCCTTAAGCGACATAAATTAAAAGAAGGAAAAGGAAAAGAGAAGAAGCAATAAAGAAGCACAAATTACAGCCATACTTCATAAATAAGAATTAAAAAAACATTCAAAATACGTACATTATTAGACGTTTCAACAAGGAATCAACATCAAAATTAAACAACAAAAATAAAACTTTGACTATTTCAGAAAGAAATCTTTCTACAGAATAAAAAACAAGTGCAACTAGAAGAATGTGGATTAAGCCAATATATCTTCCTAAAAACGACGGTGCTCTTGAAGATGAAAGAAAAAAAATAGAAGTATGAACGAACAGAATGTAAATTCAACTTTATTTACACCATCTCCATTTCCTTCCCATTAACCGTCCCACAACTCCAAAGTCAGAAGCTGCTCGCCGAAGTAATACAGAAATCTATAACCATTTTTGTGGCTACAAATGCACGTATCAGCATCACATAAAACTTACTACCGAAGAAAAACAAGGAGCAAAACAACTATGTAGAAAATAAATAAATTAGAAAAAGTAGCAAAATAAGAATCAAGAAAAACCACCCACCCTGCGTAGCTTCAAACTTCATTGATTGCAAGTTTACTGAGACGGTTGTTGGATAAAAATATTACATCGACTAAATGTTTGGATTTTTAAATATTTTCACAGTATTTTCAGTCAGTTTGCTTTCAAAACCACAAGAAATTCAACAGACTATCATTAAAAAAATTCAGAGATCACAAAACCATTTTTTTCTTTTTCAGTATTCCATCATCAGACAAAAGTTCACCTAGCTATTTTTTTTTTTTTTGAGCTTTTAACACTCTGTTTTGATTTGTTCAATTATTTTTCAACAATCTTTCCTCGTTACAAGTAAGAAGTTTTACAAGTAAACAAATGATAACACTTGGACAAATAAAAATACAGGAAAAAATGATCAGATCTATATTAAAGACATGAGATACATCCTTGACACTGCGCAGTGAAAATCAAGAAAAAATTATCTTTCTGCGTCAAGCAGAATCCACCCACACCTACCGCTTAGTGCGATAGTTCTTAGTTATGTCGCTTAAAATTTACAGTCTTTTCATTTGCAACGGTCGCCTCTGCGGCTTACGCCAAACTGACTGCCGCAGGCGTTAATGAATAGTGTTTCGGGGCTGATTTGATTTTACTTATATACACATCGATGACGCTGCAGCCGCACTCATCCAATTCCCATGTCTTGAAAACAGAGAGACAGATAGTGCAGTTGCACTAAAATCCCCTTTGTCGACAGTTTCGACAGCTTTCAGTAGTAATGGACAGTTCTACTGTGTGACCAGTTGTTTTTCACCCAGAAGAATTTCAGGCAAGAATAGCGACTATTCTAAAAGCATCAGTGGTCTAGACTCATTTAAATAACCAAACAACTGAGACAAGAAGAGGTTAGGAAGTCACAGCTCCAGAATCCAGTATAAGATAGATAGTGATGAAGAACATTTTTTCTTTCTTTTCCAAAGCCTTGATATGGACAAGAAAAGATATGCTTTTTCAAAGAATATATTTTCCTTTCTAAAACTGGCTTTCAAAAAAAAGAAACTTTATTTAAACAGTTAAAACTTCAATCTACTAAAAACAACAAAAACGAATTGTAATACACAGAAAGAAAAAAAAAAAAAAA